TAAAGACGTATTTACATAGCCGCTTAAAAACAAAAAAAGGAAATTGCCACTTAGATATCTACAGTCCGTGTTACCATCTGCACGTTCTATCATCAACTAATCTGTAAATAGAGAAGGCGCTTTTACGTTTTACCTTCTGAAAGTTATAGATAAGGCTCAAAGAAACCAATGCATGTTTAGTCTGAATGTTTAAAAACGGTTCATTCGCGTTGTGTAAACCAATGCTTTTTTCTTTCTTGGAATATCGTTTAAAATTCTCTGTTTGTACGCATACATGTATTTCTTTTATTGTTAATATAAAGTGTTGCACCACTTCTTTGCGACTGTGGGTATTATTAGCACCATCCTTATACGTGTATTTACATACGCTAAACTTTTTATTAGTTTTTAGTCCAATACTTTTAACTCTAAACTTTTAAATAAACTTTATAAATGCACTACATAGTCAGAATTTGTAAAGAGGGGTTGCAATTTTTTATATTATTATAAACTTAAAAAAGCACTACGAATACTAAGTAATGCAATAATAATACACCCAAATTTTTTTTTATTTGCTATGAATATGTTTTACAATTAAATATTACGGCGATATTTATTTAGAAAATCATTACATGCACAATAAAAAATTCTGAATATTTTTGGGTACGATAAGTGTTAGCTGAACTTTATATGGATTTTGCCCTCAGAAATCATTATGTTAAGGAAAAAATAAAATCTGAAACTTTCAGGAAATGTAGTCCCCACCTTCATCTTTTTAGTCCAGTTAGTCTTGTTTTGTTATTTTTATTCCTGTAAAAGATATATTAATTTTTTAATGGCCGTTTAGTAGCGATATTGTTAGTTTTATTTATAATTTAAAATTTAGATGGCTTTGACTTTGTCAATTCATGTTTGGTAGAGAAATGTCAGAGCTGTCAAAAATATTTCATAAATTTTATTTGTGCGTATTTAAATTGTGATTTCAAAAAGTTTGCAAGTTTGCAAGTTTAATAAATGACGGAGTGTTCGAGATTCATGAATTTAATTGCAATTAAAAATGCAAGAACATATTATAATTTTGTACCTCTTTCTTATAGAAAATATTTAAGTTTTAAATTGTTAAAAATAAGCAAAAACCAAAAAATATTCTAAATAAACCCCTTTATTATAACATGTTTTATTTTAACCAGTTACCTAAAAACTAAAATTTAAAGAAGTATTTACAGATTGTGTAAATCTTTTCCAACACTAAGATTTAAAATACATACATTTAACTTTTAACTATTTAGTGCCTTACTAAAGGGATCAAAATAATAGAACAAGACTAACTTGGTTTAAATTGTGAAAGAAACCGACAAAAAACTGCTTAACGCATTGTTTATACGTTTAAATTAACTCTTTATTAATTTCACTTATTATACTTAACGATATAAACCATAAGGATCTTAAATATATTTTTTACATTCTTCTTCTTTAAACACCAATTAGCCATTTAAATACTTTATTATAATGTATATAATATATAATTATATATATATAAATATAACTAACAGTATCGCTACTAAACGGCCATTAAAAAATTAATATATCTTTTAAAGGAATAAAAATAACAAAACAAGACTAACTGGACTGAAAAGATGAAGGTGGGGACTAAATTTCCTGAAAGTTTCAGATTTTTATTTTTTCCTCAACATGCTTTCTGAGGGCAAAATTGGCTAATTTTGAGAATTATCAATTTTCAATAATTTTTTTAATAAAGAAATTTATAGTCTAGAAACTTAAAAGAATAGTTACGTTTTCTATTGTATAAGTACTTTATACCTGAAAAAAATGAACCTTCTAAATTCAGTAGAATAGGCACAGGAGCCAGACAAAAATCACAAAAATTGGCAAATTATCATGAATCTTTAGTGGTTTACCATTCTTTTATAAGATTAACTAATTGGATAAAAATAATTTATATCGAAAACACACTTACTGGACAGTATAACAAAATTAAAATTATTTCAATATTTGTCACAGAAAAAAAGTTCTGGCACACTATAAGAGAGTAAGAAATTGACACTATTTCAGACTTCTAAGGGGTGCCAAATAAAAGTAAAGCAACAAAAAATTAAAACGGCAAGGGATTTTCATATTTGACACCTAAAAGATCATCCTCAAATTTTTTCATCAAAATAAAAAATCACGCAGCGCACCCCATTTGGTGTTTTTATTTGGAATTACTCTATATATAAATACTTCATATTATTACTAGTTTAAAAGTCAAATTATTATTAAACTTCGTACAAAAATAAAGCTAAAATGTTATGTCAGTTGAACCTAAATTAAAATAGTATCTTAAAGAACTAATGCCATAAGACGTCATTTTGTCGCACACGGACAATTTATAAAACTAGCGACGAAGGAGCGAGTTTTGTAATGGACGAGTGCGAGAAAAGGTCTTTTTTGCAAAAATTCTATAAAAAAAATTAATTTTATACCTAAAATTTAATTTGGTCAAATTTTACTTTAGATAGTTGGTATCAGTCATTGGTTTGACAGTTAATGTCAAAATCGATTCGCCATGCCGTTTTAATTTACTTATTTACAATAAGCGACTGTTAATGTTAAAGAAGAAAAAAAGGATTTTCTTTGTTGTTAAACAAAATTTATTGGCAGAAAAAAGTACTAGAAAAATCATACAAATATTATAAGCAATATGCAAAATATGATGCTAATTAAAGTATAGCTATACAAAATTTTGATTTTATAGGTTGGCTATATAGCCAACCTATAAAATCAAAATTGTGGGTGGGATAAAGTATCTCATTACAGCACCGAAAGCGGTGTTATAATGAAATCATTATGAACGCAAAATAGATAAATGATGTGATAGAATCTTACAAAAAATATTTAATTAAATGCTTGAAAAAAAAATTATATACAACACGGTGGCGAAATCTTAGTAATTGCCTTGCACACAATCTACTAAAGTTTATACTTGGCGATAACATGTGCTTTCTCCGCCTGGATCGAGTTCAGATATTTTTCTACCTATTTTATACAAATTTGTAGTTTTAATAATAATGTATTTTGTTAATTTAGAGTTTATTATGCATAACATTTTTATATATTTATACAATAATTTTTTCAAACTTTTTACAAAAGAAATTAAATATTCAATAAAATTACATTTTAATATATTTATACAATAATTTTTTCAAACTTTTTAAAAAAGAAATTAAATATTCATATATTATATCACGAGAACTATGAATTTAATCGGTTAAACTAGGCTCAGTAGTTTTTTGTTTGGTTTTTGTTGGAAAATGTTGAATGCAAAATAATTTAATAAAATCACGAGACCGCGTAGCGGTCGAGGGGTTTTATTTTTTTAATTATTTTGCATGAAACCAATTTCCAAAAAAAAATCAAATAAAAAACTTACTGAGCATAGTTTGACAGATTAAATTTATAGGTTGAGTGAAATACGTCTAGATTATTTCTCGAATTAAAGGAAACTATTTGACAATTCATAAAATCTGACGTATGTGTCCAAATTTATGAATATTTTTTTAAAGAAAATTTCATTAATTTAAGTAATAAGTAATTGATATTTCGTAAACTAGATAACTTATTTTTTATTGTTTTAAAAAAAGTGTTTGTTAAAACTTGTAAATAACACCAAAAAATCGTAAACAAAAATCTAATATGGAGGCTAAAATTTAATCGCTGTTAAATAGTTCTAGTGATTTAATCGCTTATTTAAACGAAATTTATTCGAAAATTCAAGGCTTTTGATTGGTTTATATTATAATGAGGGAAATAATCAATAAAAATAAAAAACTCTACATATTAACCCCGGCGAATTCGCCATTTTTGAAAGTAATACATTTATAATAATAATTATAATAATATCATATAAATTATATGATTATATGATTATATGATATAATAAAACATTATTCATACTTTTTATAGTGTAGATATTCTTAAATGTGCTTGGTTAGTTAGTTACTTTATTAAAAATATATATATGTATAATGTAAACCGAAATAGTAAAATAGTGGATGCATATATGGATATTTACGATCTCGTCTCACACACAGTAGAAGCTAGATAGTGTGCAGGGATAATTAAAGGCCGGAAGTCAAACATCCTGACAAACATGAAGCAAACTGGACAAGTGTGTTTAAGCATCAAGGATCCGTTACGCTAATTGTCAAGTCGAGAACGAGGAGGCAGACGTGGCCGAAGTGACTCCGGCGCCGCGAAAACGCGTCTTTACACCGGAGTTATCATAATTATTTCTCGAGCTCGCAGCCAGCAGGTGTAAGATAAGGATAATTGTCCTGTTGTGTGTTTTGTCCTTGTTAAGACATGCAAATGGCTTCTAGGAAAGCCGATATTTTACAAGCTGTAGGTGTTTAAATGTAAATCTTTTGTTAGCGCTTCCATTACAAAGTTTGACCAAAGAAAAATAAATTACACCTGCTTCAAAACAAATTGCCTTTTATTTTTAAGACATTTTGCTAAAAAAAGATTCCACTTAATATTTTTATTATAATTATTGTTTAACATTCTCCTTTTGTATGCAAATATTTTATTTATAAATTTAGGCAGTCTTATTTTTTAATTTATTTAATGATTAAATATTATGGACTTTTTAAAATAAATGTGGACTAAAGTACATGTTTATACACTTTAAATACCTATATATTCACTGGTTTTACATGTTAATGTATTTTGTAGACAGTACATATTATATAAAGTAGTTTTCATAAGGAATTAAATGCTTTGCTAAATTAATATTTTAACAAAAAAACTTGTTACATTAATTTGGTAAATATCCTATTTTTATTAAAAGGGTGATGGTACTGTTTGGTTAAGGACAGTATAATGACTTTCATAATGGATTGTCATAATGGACAAAATTATTTATTGATAAACTAATGGTTTTTTATTATTAGAAGTAGTTATTTCAAGATAGTGATCAAATTTTTTTTCAAGCAATATTTTCAATTGGCTTTTTTCGCTAGGAGATCCGTATGATGAGGCAACTTCAAAGTTCCCTGCCGCCCGGAGCTAATTGGCTTTATACTTACATATACAATATGTTGCATAACGAGGTAAAATATTAAATATTGCATAATTATGTGTTCGTGCCCATGGTTAATTATAATTAAAGCATTTATTTATTCCCGTTAAGTAGATTTCTTATTAAAGTTTAAACATTAAAAAAATGTTTAACAAATGCTTCAATTAAAATTACCACATTAATTGTTATTACTTTTGGTTATTTAAAGTATTTTTTTAATATGTTTTAATTCAATAAACTTACTAGTAGATTATGAAAATTTTACTTACAAATACATATATGTATACATATCGCATGATTTCAACATACATATTACAATTTGTAATTTAAAGATATTATTTGTATACAACTCTTGGTTGATATTAGATCGCATATTCCAGTTATCATAACATCATAAACTTCAATTAAAGCTCGCCTAATATACCAACTACTATCTGCTGAATAAGATGCTTAATCCCAACGCCATAAACATACATTCTTAATAAAGTAATTATTTTTCCAACACTCCTTGGAGTATTAAAACCCCTTATGAAACTTATAAATTTATTAATAATATTTCTCTAACATATGTAAATATATTTTGAAATAGAAAAATGTATGTTTTATATTATTAAGTAATGTTGAATTTAGTGTGTAAATAAAGACGTATTGTTATTATAATTTATTTATTTATTAAAAGTAATATAAAAAGTTTTTATTTTTATTAAAAACTATAGTTTTTATATACGTATAAAGTAGTGAATTATATTACAATATCAATCTATGTTTATAGGGTTTTCCTTTAGGAGGTGCTTTTTTAAATTATTCCTTTTGGCCCTTTTTATAATACATTTTTACATTTTTGTAAACTGTTAGGTTTTTACTTTAAAATTAAAATAAAAAAATTGGATTAATTTAAATTAACAGACCCTTTTGTGAAAAAAAACATATTTGCAATATTGTCAAAAATGGCGAATACGCTAGGATCATACCCAACTAGCACAACAGTTACTGTTTACAAATTAGGCAAAAGCAAAAAAAGTATTTTAAATCAATTTTAAACAAAAAAAAACAAAATTAATTTTAGAAAAATATGTTTTTTTATTCTTATTATTATAAAAGCGCGATTAAAATATAATATTAAAATAAAATAGTCAAAATTCTACTATTTGAGTTAGTACCAGCATTTTTTACTAATAAAATAGTCGTTTTCCCTTTTAAATAGTTCTTTTTTACTACGAAAATAGTTAAAGTTTGACTAATTTAAGATTAGTCACCATCTTTGACTATTTCTGAGAGTTAAAAGTAACTAATTTCTTTAATTGTTTGCAGCCAACAACAAAGTATTATTTGTATTAAATGCATAAAGGCTATGGCTATATGGTTAAATGGCCCATAAAACAAACAAAGATGCAAAAAGTTTACATCAAAACAGCACCACAAATAATATATTCAACTTTAAAATATTATAAACAATATTTATTGACAAATAAAATTGATTTTTATAAGAATGATAGCCACATTGGTAGTAACAACAGCTGCTTGACAAGTGACAGACCTGAGTTCAATCCCCGGATGGGTCAAAACTTTTTTAAATTTAAATCTACTAATTTGACTATTTCATTCAGTAGAATTTAACTAATTATTAGTGACTGCTTTTTGGCTATGACAATTAGTCAAATATGACTTATAATTAGTTATTTTTGACTAATTCATTTTAAGAAAGTACTTTATTAAAAAAATGCCCTATTAGTTATTTTATTACTAAAGCCCTAATTAAGAACATCTATCTCTTTAAGATATTTAATATTTAATTAAAAAAAAACTAAACAAATCATATACAGGGTCTAAGATTTTAATCAGGAAACTTAAATAGTCAATAAAAAAGTTTATATGAACTTGTATGTTTTAAACATTTGTTTTCAAGATAAAGGGTGTTCAAGTTAATAAAACAAGTATGGCCACCCCATTTATTATATTTATATTTATATTAAGCAATTAAAAATACAACTTTTTTATCTCTTTCCTTTTTTTCTATCTTGTTTAATTTTCAAGATAAAAATTAAATTTTTTTATCAGTTCGTGACCATAATTTTTTCAAGATCAAGAGAAAAACTCAAGAGACAAAAATATATTTTTAATTGCTTAATCTAAAAATAATATTAAACTTACTCACTAAAAGCAGTAGCGTACCCAAATTTAATTTTTTAATATCTAGTTGGGATGTCACAAATTCACCACCCTGTATCTCAAAAACGAAGCTTTAAAACATACAAGTTCATTTACACTTTTCTTCTTATTATTATAAATGTATTCTAACAGAGCAAAAATAATTGAAACGCTTACTCTTCAATGTCTAGGAAAGAACTGCCTTTATTCATATGGCACCAGTGTTGCCAATATTACAAAAAGATTTTTATTTCAAAATTGGGCCCATAACTTATTATATATGAATTCTAAGCGGGGGACGCGTACTCTTTAGTGTCTATGAACGAACTGCCTTTATTCATATGGTACATGACCGGTGTTGCCAATATTACAAAAGATATGTTTTTTGTGAGTTACAAACATACGTGTGAAGCAGTTTTAATTATTAGGGAGCGTGCCAGGGCACCCACGCAGAGAATTGATTCATGTGTGACAACACTATCAAAACCCTATGTACAATAAACAAGCACCGTATCTATTTGTCAAAGCGAAAATATTATTTTGCATAAAAATATGATCTCGAAGTTTGTTTGATATTCCTGCGAAAGACGCTTTAAATAAAATAAAGAACATTGATAACAAAGTTTTCCTTCAAAAGCAAAGAAAAGATTTTTCAGTAGTAGCATGAGTAGTGCTAGCCTTAAAACTACAGCAAGGGAGAATTAAAAAAGACCACTGTAAAAAAACGAAAAAAAAGTTCAAAAATACGTCTGGGACAATTTCATCTACGTCTTCTTCTAAAAACTCTCAAATAGCGTGAGCTTAGTTTATGTAAGATATTCGAATGGATCTTTACTTGGAATTAGAGAATATTCAGCTCTTAGGTATTTTAAAAAGTTATGCAAACAAGGGATCGATGAATAAACATACACTGATTCAGAGATATCGTTGGTTTCTTTCAGAGCAGTACATGTGGAATTTTTGACAACAGAGTATCTGCAAACGTTAAAGAATTAATGGTAAAAAACCCAAATCGTCCAAAATCGTCCACGTCGCATTTATATATCTTAGGAAAATGATTTTACTATGGAAAATTGTGTTACTGAAATAACCAGATTCTTCTTTGATCGTCCAAAATCGTCCACGTCGCATTTATATATCTTAGGAAAATGATTTTACTATGGAAAATTGTGTTACTGAAATAACCAGATTCTTCTTTGATGTCCTTATTAATGAAGGGAAATGCAAAAGTGAAGAATTCTGCAGTGCAACCTCATAATTGGCAATATGATCCGGTTTTCTTAAAATTTCGTCAAAAGTATTGCCAAAAGGTGGTTTATGATACTGACGATCGGAAAATCAGTATTATTGAAAAATACAACCACTTACTGACCAAGGACGAAAAATAGATGCAATATATTCTTCTAATTAATTTTATATAGTTTTTCAAATTATTTACTTTCCTAATTTATACTTTTAATTATGAACCTTTAAATGTTATCGAATTCAAAAAAAAAATTTGTGTATCACTCATCTAGATGTCATAGAATAACAAAAAACTAAATAGATTCATCATTTACTTCAAATTTAGCAATAATCGGACACGGTGTGCCTGAACGAAGTTTAAGTGACAAAAAAATGCCGCCAAAAACTGATTGCAGTTTCTTGATCGGGACCCTTTGGTGACTAAAAAATGATATTTACCAAAATCCTAGCTGCTTCTCTTTTCAAATTTTTTTAAAAATTCATGATTTTTTTTTTAAATTTTTGTTTATTTCAAAGTCTACCTTTGAGAGAGTACACATTTGTACACCGATTTTTATAAAATTAGAGTAAATTATTGAGGAGACTTAAATAATACTTTTTAATACTGTTCACATCGTTTGATACATACAGGATGAGCCAAAAATCGCTTATTTTTAATAAAGCCAAAGCGTAAATTCATGATTTTGGCATAACACGCAAGATTTATTCCCATTTTTTTTTTTAGATATTTCTACGTTTATCAGGTTACAAAATGGCATTCTTATTAACCTTTTATAAAAAATAGATTTTTAATAAAATTAAATAAAATAAGGCTTAGATAATATTTAAAATGTTGTTTAATTTAGGCTTTTTAGTAGTTTTCAATTTTTAACGAAAAACTGGTTAAAGTTTTTTGATCGGCACTCTTTGGAGATTTAAAAACGATATTTACCAAAATTTTAACTGCTTTTTTTTTAATTTGTTAAAAAATCATTTTTTTTAAATTATTTGTTTATCGCAAAGTCTACCTTTGCCAGAGTACGTACACATTTGTACACCGATTTCTTGTTCGGGACCCTTTGGTAACTTTAAAATGATATTTACCAAAATCCTAGCTGCTCCTATTTTCGAAATTTTTTTAAAATTCTTAATTTTTTTTTTAATTTTTGTTTATCTTACCTTTGACAGAGTACACATTTTTATACCGATTTTTATAATATTGGAGTATATTGTTAACGAGACTTGGAAAATACTAAGCACACCATTAGATTTATACAGGGTTAGCCAAAAATCACTTTTTTATATATATATATATACTATATATATATATATATATATATATATATATATATATAAACTATAGTAAAAAGCATAATGCACAAAAAAGATTTATCTCCAAAAATGTTATTTTATTTAATTTTATTCAAAATCAATTTTTCCCATAAAGTCTTTAATAAGAATCCCATTTTGTAGCCTGATAAACATAAAAATATCTAAAAAAACATGGGTGGGTATATCTTTTTTGAGTGTTATGCCAAAATCATGAAGTTACGCTTTTGCTTTATTAAAAGAAGCGATTTTTGGCTAACCCTGTATATATTAAATGATGTGCAGAGTATAAAAAAGTATTCTCCAAATCTCCTTAACAATATACTCCAATATTATAAAAATCGATGTACAAATGTGTACTCTGTCAAAGGTAGACTTTAAGATAAACAAAAATTTAAAAAAAAATCATGATTTTTCAAAAAATTTCGAAAAGAGGAGCAGCTAGGATTTTGGTAAAAATCATTTTTAAGTCACCAAAGGGTCCCGAATAAGAAATTGCAATCAGTTTTTGGCGGCATTTTTAAGTGACTTAAGCCTGAATTATTCCTTCCTTCCTCCTGTAGTCGTGCCCGTACGATTTGTGCGTCCTGTAAAAAGTTAATTTATAGATATCCGTGTAAAATTCCGTAACCATGCGCGATGACACCTAAAATGGTTGACATTTGTTTTTGTTTATATTCTGCGTTTTACCCATTGTGTGTAAATATGAAAGATAATCATTTATATATTAGTGCAGTGATCACAATTTTAATTGCCCAGGCAGCTTGTTGTATACTGCCCAACTATGGAGAAAGGCAGTAACTGCTAAACAAGAAATTTGTGGGAAATTAGCATAAACCACATTTTTATAAAAAGCAGTAGGTATTTAACTGATTTATTTAAATTAAAAGATAGTGTTCTTTGTTGAATTAAGATACAAAATGTCCATAGCTTTATCATAACACAAGAAAACGCATTTGTAGTTACTGCCTTTCTCCATAGTAGGGTAGTATAATGAAAAAAAACATCGAACAAGACGTTGGAAGACTCGCCCACTTTACCAAGACCGGGAAACTACGGGGTTTTACAAAGCAACGTTTCTAAAAATGAAAGACATTGATCATAAACAATATCTAAATATCCTATTAAGAGACACAAATTATTTAATAAACTGAACACCTATCTTAAATAATACTAAACAATCATGTATTTTAAATATTTTGTGCCTACGCGCTGTCACCCTACAGCGCATGTCCATGACAAGCACTGATTGGTCATGTCAAAGACCTTTACGGTGAAAGATAAAACTTAAAAATTTCTACGGGAGGAAGGAATGCCGTCCTTACGGTACGGAAATCTATAACTGGCACTACGATTTAAATAAACATTTTTGACGTAATTGTCACCATTAACATTGCCCGTTATTAATTTTAATTAAACTTAACAATTATTGATACTTTAAAATATATAAATAACTTCAAAATATGATTTTGTTAAGAAAATATTTTATTCTTTGATTTTTTTTATTTCTTTAATTGCAAAATATTATCACAAAGTATTAAAAATTCCTACACGGGAAATGTTAATGGTGACAATTACGTAATGTTCATCTTCTACGGGAGGAAGGAAGGAAGGATGGAAGGCAATCTATAACTCAGGCTTTAAACTTCGTTCAGGCACACCTTGCGGAATGTATAGGGGAGAGTGATGCAAAGCGGAACAATATTTGATTTTTTTTAAATAGTAGTCATAGTATTTGAAAATAAGGCACTTATATGTTGTTAATTAAATGGTCATTATGTTGTTGAAAAATGACAAAAATTTGAAAACTCTGGAATCATGGTTTTTCCAAATATCATTGTTTTTTTTTAATTTCATTTTGTTCCACTTTGCCCCTTTCATGGGTCAAATATATCGTGGGGTAAAGTGAAATATATTTTTATTTGATATGAAGACTATAAAAAAATATTTAAACAATTTTTCATCAGACAGACAATCATATGCGGTACATATGCTCTCACAATATCCGCCATATCGTCTTCATCCCAAGAATGTTGTTTGGATTTTCGAACAAAGTTCCTTACCATTTTTTCTATAAGAAATGGACGAAAAATAATTATTCATATCCCAGGTTTTGTTTCTTCAAAAATATTGCTATTTTTATATTGTGGGGCAAAGTTCCACTTTACCCCATTCGGTATATTCTTATATCAAGTGTGATTTTACATATACCAATAGCAAGATGCGTCTGAATATTCTAGTATATGTGTAAATATGCCTTACCTTAAAAATAGTAAACAGCAATTTTTGTCTTAATTAAACAATCCTTCATTAAACATAAATTTGCCACTTAAAAGTATTAACAAAAAATGCCGGATTTCTATGTTCTCACATAATAACAGAAATACGTGCACTCAGCGATCGGCGCTTTCTGTATGCAATAAAGTGCTAATAGAGCACATGTTTTGACCAAGGTCAGTGTGAAGCAATGTTGCCGTATCACAAATTTCACTTTGCCCCTCATTCCGCTTTGCCCCACTCTCCCCTACATAGAATAACCAAATAAAAATGATCTTAACGCTTTTCTCAATTGTTTCAGGAAAATAAAAATGACTCGACCCTGGATGGGGACGAGGAAAACGGTGACGCCGATCACGAGCGCGACTTCTTGGAGAACGGTCGCGATGGCATGACCGGCACCCCCGACTCCGCCAACTCCCGCAACGACAAGGAGTTAGAGGACTTGATGGACGTGGAGCCGGCAGCCAAGACCTGCATCGTGCACGCCCTGAGCATTGTCAGCGCCCCGGCGTCGCAGCCGGGAGCGTCGCCGCCACCGCTGGCCGCCGTCGCCCCCCACACGGTCCACCACGCCGACGGTTGGAAGCCCCAGGGACACACGAGACTCTCCCCCAAATTGCAACACGAACCCTATTAGTTACCTTATCCACTTCGCAAACTGCATGGACTACCTAACTTAATTATTTAAAGCATAGTTATGTTTTTTCTTTTTTAGTTTTCGGTATATAAAGTTAAAGGATGCAGAACTTTTACGGTGGGTAAGTCTTAGCCCGTACTATCTCATTAAATATTATGGCTTATGATGATGAAAAGTTTTAAGTAATTTGACATCTTATTACATTTATAACGTTGGGTATAAATTCAAGTCACTGTATTTTCTTCGTCAAATTCCTAAAATTTTTATGAAATAGAACGACAAAGGCCTAGTCATAAAAAAATCCAAAAATAAAAAAGAAAACCCATTTTTTATGTGTAATAAACATTTTCATGATAAATTTTAATGAGCAAAATGTAATAATTGAATGCTATGCTAGAACAACGTTGTAAGTGCCAGAAATATGCATATCCATGGATAATCGAGAATAACTGTTTGTCGTGTGTTGCTTTTAAATAAAGGCACAATAAAAGTAACACAAAAGGCAAAAAATTATTCATTCATATTCATATTTACAATATGGTAGATACAAACCTTAGACAAGACACAACTAGACGTAACCGACGTAACTGTATTTACCATCGACCTTATAAACCACGCTGTCTGTAAACAAAATGGTATTTTTGTAAAGTAAAGAAGTAAGATTTGTAAATTTAAGCCAAATCTATTTGTTTATTTGGACATTTGTTCATGTTAATAAGTTACGACAAAGTATGAACAAAGTACGATATTGTTACACTAGTGAAACAAAACAAAAAGGCAATTGTAAATAATAAATTACACTCTCTTAAAATAAATGTCAAAAATAACTAATTATAAGTATATTTGACTAATTGTCATAGCAAAAAAGTATTCACTAATAATAATAATAACTAGTCAAATTCTACTAAATATAATAGTCAAATTAGTAGATATAAATTTTAAAAAGTATTGACCCAGCCAGGGTTTAAATTCTGGTCTGTCTATTGTCAACCGGATGTCAAACCGGTGCTCCACTGTCACTTTTATATAATAAATAAATATTGTTAATAATATTTTAAAGCTAAATATCTTGTTTCTAGAACCAAGCGAAAAGTACGAATTTGCGCTTCCAAAAGAAAGCGCTTTTCCGAGGAGCAAGCGTTTTTTTGTCGATCGCTTAGTTAGCATAATAAAGAAACGTTTAGTGTATTTGCGACTTTTGACATAAACGTCAAATTTGAGGTTATCAATAATTTTAACATTCTTATAGAAACACCGGTTGTAGAAAAAATCGTGTGTGTAATTCGAGCGCAAAGTGACATTGCCGCTCTCGCGAGATAGCCGCGCTTCTCAAGGCGTCGCGCGTCAAACTTCTCGGTCAAAGCGGCAATGTATCACTTTGTTTTTAAGGGACGTTTAACCATGGAGCCTATATGCATTTTACTCTAACAATAATTTGTTGTTGGCCGCAAAAATTAAAAACGATTAAAGAAATTAGTTACTTTTTACTATCAGAAACATTCAAAGATGGTGACTTATCTTAAATTATTAAAACTTTAACTACTTAACTAGTAAAAATAGCTATTTAAAAGTGAAAACAACTATTTTATTAATAAACAATGCTGGTACTATTTCAAATAGTAGAATTTTGACTATTTCATTTGAAGAGAGTACCTAGCTATTTTTAACATAGAGATTATTCGTACATAAATATGATTTTAAACATGTTTTAAAAATTAAATTAATTTCAGAATTAAATACAAACAAATAATGTTAGAAAACTTAACCTCAAAACCAAAACACATCTGTCAATAATACCATTATGGTTATGGATTAATTTTTAATTGCATTGTACGACAAACTCGTAAAGAATGGTCGATTAAGACGTTTAACACTCAAGCGAAGCGAGCTTGGCAAAAATGCAAAATATACCCACTATTAAATATTTTTGTTGTTTTAAAAAGTAATTTATATATATTTAAAAATTATTACATAACCACAATTGTCTTTATCGTTATTTGTACCAAATTTTTGACGTTGTCAAATTCCTAATAAAATAAGTGAGTCTTTTTGTGCTCAAAAATATCTTCAAGACACAAGTTAACAATTTATATCATGCTTATATTTTGTTGTACCTATATTTTAATGAAAACTTTACTTGAGCAAAAAAAGTCTGTAAACTGATTTTCAAAATAACTTCCATAATAACACAAACCATGTACATGGTGTATTTCATTACGGCTTTACTAAAATAACAACGTTGTTCATAAACTTTTCGTCATCTTTATCTTCTTAAAAGCCATTGTCTAATATCTTTGTAACAAAAGTTCTATATAATTTAACTTAATTTTAAATTAAAAAAATTGTTTCTTACTAAATTAATACCAAAAAACAGAGTAGTTAGTCAACCCCTGTAAATATTTATGTAAAAAACAATTTGACATATCATTAAAACTATCATTAAGGTATATTTCTTATACAATTAAGATTTAGGGTTTCATAGGGGCCTAAAAATTACTTGTATATGTAAAACGAAAATTAGATTTGTAGTATTTATAGCTAGTGAAATGCTGTGTTGAATATATTTATAAAACATAGTTATGGCGAGTGTTGGTAAATTACTAAATTGACATTGACAAGAAGCCCATAAAGCGAATCCATGTTTTCCCGTAGTTTTTTCTTATTTGTCCAATTCTTCTTTGAACACTGTCATGAGCTTAAGCTGAAAAATCTCTGTGGATAGAAAACGATGTAAAGCTTTCAAATTGGAAATACATTGTAAATCATTTGTCACTGTTGGAACAAACCATTAGGTGCTTAGCAAATATTATCTCACGATTTTTCAAATTATAAATCTTTTTTTATAAAATTGTGATAAAAACCAATTTACCAACACTCTGCTTAAAAAGTTGGTAAGACCAAATTTAATTTAAATAAAAAATTGTTGCCTAAAGTGTGAATATTAAAAAAATATATGTGTGTACTAATAGGTATATTGTAAACCTATAAAATGACTTGTTAAAAATCAGCTTGTTTTAAAACTTATATATATTATTTATTTATTAAAAACTTTTAATTATTTCGAATTTGTCTTATAGATATAATAATAATATATAATAATGTGAGTGAATGACCAATTGTTCTCCACAATATACAATCATGTATAAAAGTATGAAATTTGCCTTGGGACTTATATGATAGGGCTTTTATTTGATGTTTGCTGACGACCATGTTATATCTATGTATGTAAAGTATCTCTTATTATATACTAGTTATTAATAATAAATGTCCTCCATTGTATTTGGTATTTTATTTAATAAACTCCTTTCATCCTCTCTTCAATGACTATAAATAAATATTAATTATAATAATAATTACACGAGCCCCGTCCCATATTAGTTGGCTACGGGCCAATATTGTAAGTATATTTTCTAATCAAAACTCCATCAATAATGTGATAAAGTGTTACTTATCATATCAGTTTTTTTAATAAAACTTCTACTATGGTAGTCTTGGAAAGGTGATATTTTGCGTACAGTCACTAACTACCAAAACACATATTCACACATAATTATAATTGTTTGAGGGAACACAGTGTCGTAGAAACAGGGGTTGCTTTAAGCTTATTGTCCCATACAAACTTTGAGGTTAGGTTTTTATAACATTTGATGCAATTTTTAGATTACACAGTTCGGCTACCATTAAAAAGGTGTACCTCTCAAACGAGATTAAAAAAGGATTAAAAGGTATATGATAACAAATTTTATTTTTTAATTGAAAAAACTAAAAAGAGCATTCCATGAGCCTCGGGACTTTTTGCCCTGACCGTCACATTAAAAAAATTGTAGTTTTTTCAATTAAAAAATTTGTTATCATATACCTTCTAGTCCTTTAATGCGATATAGCAATTATTGTAATCTCGAATATTTCGGAAACGGTTTATTTTATCGTTTGGGAGGTCCACCTTTTTAATAGTAGCCGAACTGAGTAATCGAAAAATTGCATCAAATGGTATAAAAACCTAACCTCAAAGTTTGTATGGGACAATAAGCTTAAGCAACCCCTGTTTCTACGACACTGTGTTCACTTGAACAATTTTAATTATGTTTGAATATGTGTTTTGTAAGTGACTGTTCGCAAAATATAACCTTTCCAAGTCTACCACAGTAGAAGTTATATTAAAAAAAACTGATATGATAAGTAACATTTTATCACCTTGTATCTTTTAAACATACGTAATTAGAAAAAATATTTATTTAGATTTTCGTCTTATTTTGACTTATTTGATTTATGCCACTAAGTTTAGGGACACCCTGTATATAGCCGCCGAAAGATCGAACTGTGTCAGGCAGCCTTGGCTTCCCGGCACACTTCTAAAACAATTCTTTGACGGCTAGCCATCAATCAAAGGATTGTTTTGGAATGGCAAAAAATAAAGGTTTTATTTCTGGATAACATTTTCTTTTATAAGTTATATTTGCATAGTGCGTTAGGCAAGCATTAGGTAAGCTAATAAAGTAGTTGAGAAGAACTGCAGTTGTCTACGAACAATTTAATTTTAAATGTTCAGAGTATACCTTGGTAGATCTGCTAAACGTAAGGTTAGAATCAGTTCTAACCAAATTACACAATTTACTTAAAATAAAATGGTAATATAAAGTAAAGTTAAAACTACTATACAGTGCGTACGTTAGAAAAACAAAAAATATCAAAAAATTTGCGGGTGCTCGATCTTGTTGGAATATTACTTCCAAGTCAAATTCGTCAGGATTAGCTTGAACTATATCTTGAATCATTGAATGAATTTAAACCATGTTTAAGTAAAATGCCTGTTAAATTTTCTTCCAAAAAGATGGGTCCTACAATATGGCCTAGTTGTCCCGCCCATACATTGCTTTTATGTGAGTACTGGGTATGACCTTCACGAAAAACCTGTAGATTAACGTACATTTTGATGAATTACAGTGCCATTTAGGAAAAAAGTCCATTCATCAATAAAACAAATTGATTGCAAGTACAGGGGATTTTGTATTATGCGCTCACACAAAATTGTACTCTGCTATGCTGGTCATCTTCAGTAAGTTGATGAAATATTTTTAATTTATAGGGATAAAATTTATTATAATTTAAATATTTTTTTACAGTTGATTTTGTTTTTAATAGCAATCCCCTGCAACTGCCGCCCTCGATTGTTGTGGATTATTGACGACGGAACCGGCTATTTCCATTTGTTTGTCTTCTGGGATTGATTTTCCACCGATCCTTTCTGCCTACTCTCACTTCTAGTTATTTGAAATTTAGTCACTAACTCCCGTATATAGTTTCTACAAATAGGGTTGTCTGGGTACCTTTCATTAAATTGATGGAAATTACGTCCAACTTCAGCATAAATAAAAATTGCTTCTGTGTTTTCTTCCAACGGGCGAGCGCGAACCATTTTCCAACGAAATAAAAAGTAAAATTGCAGGCACAACTTATAAATAGTGTTACAGAGTAAAATTATTTTATAAACCGCCTTAAAACTTCAGTGGTAAGTTTTTTTACAAAACAAGAAAACTAAACAAAAACAAAAAAGTGGCAAAAAAATTAAATGATGATACATATTTGCGATAATTCGTTCCACCAGGGCCTGAGGCAACGTAGGTAGCTGCCGAAGGCGGCAAGAAAATGTATTGGTTTGAAAAACTCAAATGCTCAATAATTATTACTTGGCATCGGTTAACCGGATTTTATAAATTTAAATAGCATCGAATAGACAGATAAACAAAATCCTTTTAAGTCCCTCTTTTCATTTAAAGTTTTTAAGTTGATAATAATATACAGTGTGACCCATTTGTTTGCGACTCACCCCTGTAAAATCTTTATTTATTGTGCGATTTTAACCGGATTTGTTTTAAAGTGAAGATCTTGATAAACTGTATTTTGGAGCAAAAAACGCTATACTTTTACAAAATACAAGGCCTACTATGTCAGTTTTAAAGAGTAAATTTTTAAGAATTCATATAAGCTATTTTTTTAAACAAAATCTAAGCACGGCACTGGATTCACCACCCCTCAACACGACCCTGTACTAAATTTTATTGAAAAATTTTAAGTAGAAAAATGCACACTAATAACTACAAAAATTTATTCTGTCAAGTTATCCATGAAAAAAACATTGAAATAAAATTAAACTAATAAATTAGAACCAATAGAACCTATTACTATAAGTTTAATTTTAATTCAATGTTTTTTTCAGAATCGCCAACATAAATTCTTCTTCTTAAAAACTGACTAGTAGGCCTTGTATTTTGTACAAATATGGCGTTTGCTCCAAAATACAGTTTATCAAGATCTACACTTTAAAATAAATCCGGTTAAATTCGCACAATAAATAAAGATTTTACAGGGGTGAGTCGCAAACAAAAGGGTCACACTATATAATAACACTCGTTAATGCCTATAGTGCCTATAGGCACCTATCAATTTGATGTCAAAAAGTGACAATGGTTTTTGTCCGATTTCGACACCTTTTTTCGTTCAAAAGATAACAGGGGGGACGTTTAAAGTGCGCACTGTCTAGTAGGTATATGTATGTGTTTTGAATTTTTTATGTTTTGTTAGTTTTCGAGCTGATATAAATTACGCTCAAAAACTAACAAAACATAAAAAAGTGCAAACACTTGGTACTTTAAAAACATACAAAAAATCAAAGAAAATTATTGATAAATGTTGATTATAATAAGTTAGGCTATAAAAATGCTAAATAAAATAATATTATTGTTTTAAAACCAATGTTAATATTTATTTTTACTTTTACTTTTTATATAATATATTTTGGAGAAATAAAATTACAATTTTGTATCATTTAATTTAATTAATTTTTTTCGATAGCTTGTTACAACCAACATTTTTAATTTATATATTTTTTTTTAATATAAAACAACTGTGTAACAGTGTAAATTAATTTTAGCAATTGTTCATTTTTAAGCGCTTTGTATTGTTCGACTTTTATAAACATGATCGTGTTAACTTGGTAAATATTTATCTTCAGGATTTTTCTTTTCCAATTATTTAATAAATTTAAAATAAAGATCTATTATTATTATTATTATTATACTGAACATTACATTCTTTTTTTAATAAATAACTTTTAGGACCCCCTACGCTTTTTAGTCCCAGCCCCCTTTTGCCATAATATTAATAATAAATTATCGATTTGTCCGTCCACTACCTGGAAAATATTGAATAAAGATTGCTTAAAGATTAAGCTGGTGCAGGAATTGAAGCTACGAGCAGTGGCGGCTGGTGACATATTTAATTGGGGGGCAGAAATTTATATACATGCAAAAATTGGATAATAAATTTACCGATGTATGTAAGATGTAAGACTCATAAATCCATATTTAAATTAACATTTTAAAAATAACAGAAAACAATAACACGCACCGGGACACGACGACCGGATAGATTTTTGACTAACTGACCTTCCTCAGAACAAAGTAAACTAAATACATCGGCAACGCGCTGACGGGCATCTTACTATTTCGCACGATTATGATGGCTGACGCCTACTAAAACCGATCTATTCCGCCCGCACGCCGCACACCACCGCCTTCATCGATACGTCGGACTAACAGTGCAGATTTGAATCCGCCCGGCTTGTAACTATTGTTATATCCATTCTAAAAAAGTTTACCCGTATTAACCATTCTAGTTAAGTTAATATTGAGAATCGGGGGGACTCGGGAGGGCACTGCCCCGTTGCCCTCCCTGTAGCAGCAGCTACTGGCCACGGGACCATCGTTTGCGTCGTTCTTTTACTGATTGGGCTTTAGAGCAGTTGCACGCAAAATTGTGTACAGCGATAAGGCATATTTTTAGCTCAACGGGTTTTTTAATAAGCAGAATTGCGGGATATGGAGAGATGTAAATTCAGAAGAGATTCTACAAACCTCATTGCATTTAAAAAATGTATTTTTTTTTTAAATGAGACTGTAGTTAACGTAACGGTCAATGGAGAACTACCGGACCATGATAAAGGAATATTTCTTTCAAAATATGGATATGGATGCAGCAGGGTGCCATACGGTGAACAAAACCATCGAATTATTGCAAGCAAGGTGGTAGGTTAATTTCAAGAAAGACCTGTTACGGTTACCCAGGTCTTGTGATTTGACGTTTCTTGAATATCTTCTATTGGGCTGCCTGAAGTCATTGGTGTATGCTAATAATCCAGCAACACTAAATGGCTTGAAAGCTAACATTGTTCGTATAATTCAAGACATATGACCACTATTGCTCGAAAGAGTGACCCAAAA